TAAGGTTAGAAAATTCCATAATAATTTATTACATTCACATTTTTTTATAGATTTTGAGTATAAATATTATATTATATTTTTATTTTTATTTTATATTAATTAAATCTGATATAAAATTTTATGTAAAATTAATTAAAAATACTATATTTAATAAAACTTAGCCTGTACTCTAAGGGTAAGGTTAGAAAATTCCATAATAATTTATTACAAGAAATCAAAACACATGAAACTAAAGGATAACATTATTATCACATCTTCAATTATTAATATCACATCTTATAATATATCTTTACGTTGTGATAATAATCACACCCCAAAAAAAACTCATCTAGGTTTTTTCATTGCAGTTACAAAATTTATTACAGCTGACGGTTATGGGAACAAAAAAAAAACACACGGACGGTTTCTCATTTAAAGGAAGGTTTGGAGAAGAAGCTTAGAGGCCCAATCCAAAATTTATTACAGTGGACTAAGAGCCCATGAAAAATTAGTATTTCAGCACTGCCCGTACGGATTCTGACCGATTAAGGAGAACCGGAACGACAGAACAGACCTCACCAGCCCTTCTCGTTCTGGCCCTTTTTGTCGGGATGCTGGGGTTTACTGTGGAGAAGCGGAAGGGAGGAAACAGACGGGTTCCGACGACGGCGGTCAGCGACTTGCCGATTCCGATCTTGATGGACATTTTCTCAAGACTTCCTGTGAAGACGGTCTTTATCTGCAGGTGCGTTTCCAAAACGTGGCTTAACGTCGTCTCTGTCCCTGAGTTCCGTCCAATGCCGGCAGCAATTGCCCTTTGCTTCGCACCCTAAACCCACAAAGGCGCTGCAGAGCCCTCCACATGGTTCCTATGGACACGGCCGGTATCTTGATGAGAAACTCAACCTCCTCAACTCGAAGCTCTTCCAGAGGTTTTCAGATTTCCCATTTGCCGTGCATCGATGTAGTCAATTCGTGCAATGGATTGCTTTGTCTACGGACACCCATATACGATGATCCTGGCATGGTATGCAATCCGGTCACGGGTGAATACGTGAGTATTCCAAGGTCCAAGAGGAAACATGGATGGGCTAGACAGCATCTTGGAATTGGATTTACTGCGTTTGGCTTCAGTTTCAGAACTTACCGATGCAAGGTGATTCGATCGGTCCATCTATTCGTTTCGACTCCTAATGACTCTTATTTTCATGATCGCGAGGCAGAGATATTCACAGTTGGTGAAGATTCATGGAGAAGCATTGGACCTGCTCCCCTGTTTCCGTTTGAGTCATCAGCTACTGTTTTCTCGAAAGGAGAGGTTCACTGGCTCTGTACTGACAGCAAAACTGTTGGTTCAATAACATCTTTTAACTTTGAGGATGAGAAGTTTGGTGAAATCCCATCGCCATTTCACTACAAAAGAGGGGGATGTAACGTGAGGATGGGAATTCTAGGAGAGTGTCTCTACCTTACTGACATTGTTTCTTATGATAGGTTTGAAGTATGGGTGATGAAGGAGTATGGAGTTCAAGATTCGTGGACAAAGGAGTTTGTCATCGAAAATCAAGGGCTCTATGTATGGCCAAGGGGCTTATACCAGCCTATTAAGTATCTGCAAAATGGGGATGTTCTAATGTTTCATCCGAGCAATGCTTTTGCCGCTTATAATCCTTCGAAAAAAGGTTTCAGGTATTTCAAGATTAAAGGCATTCAATCCGACTTTGAAGCAATTTCATTTACTCCAAGCCTAGTTCCGCTTAGGGAATTTTTGATGGGGGAGAATAGAGAGATGTTATTGCTAAGTTCTTAATTATTAATGTTAAATCTTTTTATTTAATTGATTATTATCTCTTTTAATTTATTAAAAAACAAAAAAAAAATTGTAAGTTTTTGAGATAAAAATAGGTAATTACATTAAAAAGATGTGACATTAATAACTTAAGATATGACAAGTGGCATTAACAATTTAAGATATGGCAATAACTCCACCGGGAGAATATGAAGGTGGGAAATTTCAATTCAAGGTAAACATATCCATTCACACAGCTTACAAATCCTTTTCTTGGATATTGCTTCTTGATATCTTTACCAGCCATTCTTGTGTTCTTTTTTGCATCAAAAAGGGGAAATCAAAAAAATTGTTACCATCTTGGAATTGAAATGAATATGTTTTTCTATTGTTATATACAGGTGCTCCATGTCAGAGATTTGGGAGGATAATGAAGCACTTCACTTCGTGGAAGAAGACAAGACAAAAGAATTAGATTCTTATTGGATTAGTTATCCGTTAATTTGATCATGAAAATAGGGTCATATTGAGTTTCTTTCATTTCTTGATGTGGCTTTTGTGCCTTTCGTAATCCTTCCTGGCGAACGGACTTCAAGAGGAGCTGTTGATCTCTTTGTTTTGAACCAACTAATTGGAAACTTTTTACCCAAATTTTGGCCCTCTTTATTGCTTTTTTTGTAAATTGTACTCATTGTAATCCTGAAGATGTGATAGACTTAGAGAGGAGCTTGCTACTATTTCCTTTGTTTCATTGAAATGCCATTAGATGATAAGGTTCTGATCATCCATCCGTGTGTTTAGACCTTAGATTAATATGACCCAAAAATCAGTCATAACCAGGAACTTTATCATCTTTATGAGAAGACTTTTGTTTATCTTGAGGATGCCCATAGGGATTATTAATGTAATGTATTTATTTATTTTTTATTTTTTTATTTTTTTTATAATTGTAATGCAATGAATTTCTATTAAATATCATAAAAAAGAAAAGATGCATTGGACTTCTTCATTTATCATTGTTCCAATCTTTATTCAACAGGAAAAACAGAGGAAAGTAGGTTGAAAAAAAAAAAAAAGCAGCAGAAATTGACCCAAGTCTTGCAAAAACAACTTCTATTCTAATCAGGTCCTGATATGATTTTCTGGGCATCATGGGCCGCAGTTGCCCGGCCCAATTCCCACCATCCTTTTCTGGATATCATACAGAACATTCAGCTTCTGCAGCTGGTGGTTACCAATGATGACCATATCGCCATCAGCTTTGTTTCCTGCAAAAGCCAAGCAACAAACCGAAGAATTTTTCCAAAGAACTTGTGATCCGTCCAACTTGACATCTAAATTCTCAAAATGCAACACCACAGCAGGGATTTTCACAGTATCGCATTTGTACCCCTTGCGTTCATAACATGTGTGCAAGGTTTCATCGCCATTGGCTCGAGTAAGACCGTATTCGTCCATTTGTTTACTGAAAGCAGAGGAGAACTGTTCATAGACTGTATCCGGAAGGCGAGTGATCACAGTTCCGGAGTCTATCATGGTGCGTGTTGAAGGTGATGTAATCTTCAATGTTTGGTTGCCAACGCTAATTCCAACAAAGTTTACCAAATATGTGCCATCTGGTGGGATGCTTACGAGTGGTGTGAAATTCGAAACTTGGCATTTTTCACGCGCTCCAGGACCGAACAGAAGATACCCTGTTGCATCTTCGGAAGGAAGACAGTGACAAAACACATTCGAATTCCGGGTTACAAGAGAATTACCATCACCATGTCCAAATGCTAGCAACCCAACGTCTAAAGTGTTGGTATCGTTAACACAGACAAAATTAAAATTTTCGATCGAGTCAGAGGAGGATATTGTGAGGGAATCGGATGCCCAATATCCTTCAGCGTAGGTACCGTCAAAGTACTCGATAGGCTTACCGTAATCAGAGGAATTTTTGCGAAAAGTTGAGGAAGATTTAGGGTCAAAAATAGTAGTTTTCGGTCCTCCAAGGCAACTGGAGCATGGTTTACATCTTATCCAGGTTATATCGCTGCCAGTGTCAAGAGTCAAGTAGAAATTGCGTATAGGAGTGCCGAGACCAACATTGACAACGTAGTTCCCACCACCCGGGTGTTTGGACGGAATAGGGAGTTGATGAGTCTCTTTGCCTTGAGCATCAGTCACATATTTAGAGGGCCCTAAAGAATTGATGGATTTGACCCTTTTTTCGTCATGAAGAAGAATTTGGGCAGAAATAACATCTGATTTCTCTTGACCAAGTGGTGAGCAGGGTCCATATCGATGAGCTACCGATATGCCCATGTATCCTTGTGCAGAACCTGAAATTGCAGGCTGTTAGTACCTATTAATTAACTGAAATAAGTAATTGTGTAAGAGATTAGGAGGGAGAGTAAAGACCCGGGCATGTTGATGGAGGCCTTCCTCCGGAGACAAATGGGTTATTGAAGTATGGGTAAAAGAGCATGATGCAGCAGAGGAGGAGGAAATGGGAAATGGCAGTAAAGCTAGCCAATTTCATCCTGTGAAATGCTTGTGGTTTCAATTGGATACCTTGTGTATATAATTGCTAATCTGATATGAAGTATATATAGAATAAGTTTTGTCGTGTTAGTAAATTTCCAAGAAAAATGCCAAAGACTTTGTCATTCTAAGTCTTCTAACTATTATTCAAGTTAAGCAGCCACTTCGTAAAAAAGAGAATTGCAATGAAAACCCATATATAGTCCATGAATTGGGCAAAGGACTACACTAAAGTTATCAAAAGTTGTTAATCCTTACCTAACAAATGAAAAGCAGTTCATATCTGATTCTACATACTTACACCGCGGTAAAATCCTGTCAGAAAATTTGGCATTTGATCCTTCAAAACTTATGGGAGGAGAATGAAAGCAGGTTCAAGAAAAGAACATAAAAGAAAATCAAATTTTCCAATAATTTACCTCCCCTGCAAGACACTTCATACAAACTAGTGGATCATAGAACCAATCAGAAAAATGAAATGGACGACGTCCCTTCAATCTACCCTTCAGCCAATAGAATGTTCTATAGATCTACTGAACATATTTCCAAAATTCTTTTCATTCGTATTAGCTAGCAAGTCAAATGGTCCAAGTGCAAGCAAATTACAAAGTCCTTTACCTATTTCTCACGTCCACTGCTCAAAGGCTTCCCTACAATAATCTAAAAGCGATATCACCATGTAAAAAAAGCTGACTTGGTCCTCATCCCAACAGCCACGCAATTCTGTCCTTAAATCTTTTGGTCCCATAAGAACTATCTGCCCCTAAAAGGATTGTTACGAATTCAAAAGATTACGAAGGGCGACTTGATTTTTCCCTCCATGCGGGCTGGGGCAACCGCAAATGCTCCTCATCATCTCAGTACATTGATTCTTGGTTGCCAGAAACTTTGGGAAATTTCCTCAATCTTTTAGCATTTCATTAATGCAATATGGTTGTGGAACAGATGGCGAAAATGGGGCTTTGGCTACGGACACACAAAAGATTGTTAAGGCCACACAAAAACTATATAAATGTATTTGGTTTAATTATTAGAAACAATTGATAATTATAACTGTTAATTAATAATAGATAAAATAGTTGATATATATTATTTAATAGTTTAAATAGATTGTTTAAATTAACTTTTTTAAAATAGTTAATAATTTGGTAATTAATATTTGACGATTGATAATATTTGATATTTATAATTTAAAATATCTAATTCATTTAATTAAAACTAAGAATTGATAATTATTTTTAAAAAATTTAAATAAATATCCCTAAATTTAGCCTATAAATTGATATTTCCAAACACTTATTATAAACTAATAAAATCAAATAAATTAAATACATTTTCAATAGTTTGTGTGGCCACAACATGACCCCAAAAATGGGGGCTGCTCTTTCTTCTGGGGCTGCCTTGCTTTCACCGTATTCTTCTAGGGAACGGGCCAATGCAGGACAAGGCGGGCAGCCTCCCCCTTAAACTTTTGAAAAATATTTAGTATGGTAGTCTAATTTTTATTTGTTAAAAGTTTTGTTTTCGTGGTATGAATTTTAAGAACTATTTTAAATATAGACAAAAAAAATTGGTACCTAAATAAATAAAGAGTTTTCAAAAAATAAGAATATGATTCAAATAAAATGAATTTTATGCCAATTTGATTAATTAATTAGGAATTAGGGTTCTTAACATTGCCTCATTTATTAAGCCAAAAATTTTTATAAAAAAATCGATTCTCTATTAAAATAATTTTAAATTTGAATTTTTTTAATATATTTTTATGTTCTCTCTTAATATTCTACGTGACAATTTAAAGTGTTTTTTAACATATAACTATGTTTTTCCTTTACCAACGAGGAGTTAGATCAAGTGGTAAGCGACTTGTTCCAGCTTAAGTAAGATTTTGAGTTCAAGATCTTGTGTATGCAGCAGCCTTCGCTGGGAGACTTACCCACAATTTCTAGGTGCGCGACGTGGGTCGGGTTCGGATTAGTCGGGGCGAAACCCCGGATACCGAGCGGGAAACCAAAAAAAACTATGTTTTTCCTTTTCTGTTGTTGCTGAAAACCTTCAAGATCCTGCTTCGGTTTGATTCTTCTCCAAGTGGTCCTGCAAAATCCCGAGGGTGGTCCTCGGGGAGAAACTCCAATGCTTAAGTCAGTATTTTTCTAATAATGTTCTCCTCTTTGTTCCGTTTATTTATCGTACTTTAACTTGTGGGCTTTATCCATCTTGGCAAGGTACCCACGTGGCTCGTCCGCACCCATGTGGCTTGGTTAACCCAATAATGGTGACATGTTGTGCCTGACGGAGTAGGCGTTTTAAGTGAATGTAACGTGTCTTAACGGAGCAACCGTATTAAATGCGCATGTAACATGCATTAACGGAGCAACCGTATTAAATGCGCATGTAACGTGCATTAACGGAGCAACCGCATTAAATGCAAATGTAACATTCTAACGGAGCAAGTCCCTTGAGAAAGGGTGCTCAAGTAAGGACAAATGATCAGATGGGGGCATGCCTATTGTGGCTGCCATGTACTTACGACGAATAGCCAAGGTGCGGTAGATTCTGAGTTTCACGACTGAGGTGCGATAAGCTCTGAGCTCTGTAGCCAAGGTGCGATAGACTCTGAGTTCTGCGACTAAGGTGCAGTAAGCTCTGATCCCTGGACTTTACCTTGTGGCTCGCCTATAACTACCCTTACACTTTCATAATTGAATTTATAATTATGTTATTTTTTTGTGTTAATAAATCAATATAAATTAGATTCACGTTTTGAGAGAAACATTTAGTATTTGTTTATTTATTTTGCAATTTAGTGTTGCATGATTTGTTACGGTAATAGTTTTTATTTTAATAAATACTTTTA